GTGGCGCTGCTGAAGATCTTCACCCGGGAGGCCTTCTGGGACTTCATCATCATCAGAGCCTGTGGCACTGGTCTTCTTCTTCATCCTCTGAGAGGCGCTTGGCCTCAGAGGCCTGTTTCAGGGTGGCGCTTCCCTCTGTAGGCATTATTTGGGTGGCGCTGGTTGTTTCAGGGACTCAGGGGTAGTGATAGCAGTTGTTCAGGGTTGGGGGAAGGAGCGCTGCTCATTTCTGAGCAGCGCATCACAGTTCTGGGGTTATTCTGGCAATTCGAGACTCTGAGTTTAATAAACAGTGTTAATAGAACTTGATACTGTGTGTGAAGTATCTTTGCTTCATTGTTTTCTGGATGTGATCTACTCGGCTTTCCTTCGTGACTGGTGGTGAGGATTCTGTGGGGCGAATTACACTTTCAGTGTACTCTGTCATATCGCATGGTCAAGTCTTCCGCTGTGTATCTTTCTCCCTGTGCCGTGTGATACTCCCATCCTCTCCCCTTCCTCCTGTGTATGCATGGGCATACCTGGAAGTCTATGTGAGTGAGCGTTGGTCATCAGACAACAAGCAACCAGGTTCATAACAATAATCATGCTCTAGCACACACTTTCTGTGGTAGGATGTCATGAACCTCACAGTAGAGGTGGATGCAGGTTCTGTAGTAGGCAATCTTCACAGTGAGATAGTCATTGCAGACTCAATGCGCAGGAGTTGTAGACAAGCAACTTGAGGGATCTTCCTGCCACGCATCTATAGGTGGAAGAAGGTTGCCGAAGGATATTGAGAAACCCGTCTGGAGGCAGAGTGGGAGGCAGGGATACATAAAAGATGGGCAGCAGCGAAACCGGTGAAGGTTTATGCTTGTGGACGTGCTCATGTCGGGTAGAAGCCAGGTCAGTTAGCAGGGGTCCGTGCCTTCTGGGGTAAGAGTCAGTAACTAGTAGGGTTTGGTGCATGGGTGTATAATGAGAACATGATCTGAGAGCATACCTCATAGACAATAAAAGTGCGAGGGACACAATGGATCATATTAGGGTGCAAATGCAGACAGACAGATAGACAGACCAAGCTACCGACCACCTGACAGACCAACAAACGGAATGACTCGGAGGACCAACCAGCAGATGAATGGTGGTACCGACTGACCGACCACCGACGGAATCGCTGACCAAGCAATCGAGAGACAGACTGGCAAACCGGCCAACCAACCAACCTACGGACTGGCAAACCGACAAACCAACTGACCAACCTATGGCCAAACGGACCGACAGACGGACCTGAGAGAGAGAGAGAGAGAGAGAGAGAGAGAGAGAGAGAGAGAGAGAGAACGACCAGGCAGACAGAAAGATAGACGGACAAACACACAGACACAAACAGACAGGCAGACAGACAGACGGACAAACACACAGACAGGGAGAGAGACAGATGTATCACAGCTTGCCACTTCGTTTTCCTATCCAGCCACTGCATATTATTTTCTATTGATCTAAAAGTTGTCAATCGAACCGTCTACACCTATGTTCGCAGCCCGTCCCTGGGGCAGGACCACGTCGGACCAGTAGCTGCCCGTAGGAGGCCGAGGAGACCGTGGTACTTGAGTTTTGAACATTTCGAAATTGAAACGGCCTGGGCCCACTTTTCTCGAATAGCAGAGCACTTCGAATAGAACACCAACACGTTTTATTCGAATACAACGTGTACCCTTTCTATTCGAATTTCGAAAAAAAAAAACACTTGTATTCCAATAACATTACTGTGTTTTTTTTGGAGGTCAGCGCCTCCTAGCCACTGATGCGGTGCATGCTGCACGGCATTCTCTCTCTCTCTCTCTCTCACACACACACACACACACACACACACATTCTCCAGACTATTGATGGGTAGCGCCACCTGCTGGAAAACTGGGACCAGCGTCCCATGAACATCGTGAATAAAGCACCAGCCAGGACCCCACACACACATGAATACGGCACCAACCGGGACCCCACACACACACTCTTCAAGTTGTGTATAACGAACATGACAAAACATACACACAGCATAATCACTACCTTACCCTTCCCCAACCACATAAACAAACGAACTACGGGCTGCACACCCGTGCCCTCACGGTGAGTCAACGACTCTCCCTCAAAACCGTCCACTATCACAACAGAAACAGCGTTCACTTGCGCATGAAAAAATACATACGTCCTCCGGGACATCCGCAAATTACCATAAAAAATAGATAACTTTTTAATCACTCGTAATTTCTGTGAAATTTCACCGACCTTGTTTGTTTTTTAGGGAGTCTCATTGGGGGCTGGATGATAAAATGGCCAACCGAACTGTCATGTGCCTGGTGGCTAGCCTCTACAACGACCTGGACTTTTTACTTGCAGAAAAAAATGATAAAAAATGGAATGATACAGAGAAGATTAGCATAGCCCCTGTGCAAGGAGGACATGCATAAACCGTGAAACAGTCGATAATAATAATAATAATAAGTCAATAACAAGTTAACAACAACAACAACAATGATAATAATAATAATAATAATATAATAATAATAGTTGACCATGTCGCAGTATGGGATAGCTGAACTCCAGTTTGTATTTCCTTCCCGAAGGGCAACGGCCTTGAGATATCATTATTGAGCTGGCCTGACCCAGGTACTTCAGAATCACTTCATTCCGTTCAGCTGACTGCATCTCTCTTTTTTTTCTAACGAAATCAGAGCCTTGTGACTCCGGCTGCATGTCCATTCAGGGGAGCGTCAGTTCGGGCCCTATCCCACCCCCTCATCTGATTGCATCCTAATTCGAACTTATGTCTGTGTTTCATCAGTTCCTGGGTATACCAACTGAGATACGCTTGTTGGTAGCTGGACTCCTGCGTAGTCTCCCACAAACCCATCGAGTGCCATAAGGGAGCCGTTTTCATGGGCTGTATTCTTGATTTACTATAACAATAATAACAACAACAATGCAAACAAATGAGACCCTAGCGCTGTATGTGATAACAAGTTGTCCAACTTATCCCCCTCCCCAGCGCTACCATACGAAGAAGAGCAGAGGCGGAGGGGGGCAGAGGGCAGCTAAGAGAATGCCATCAGCTTTTCAGTTTTTACCATACTACCCGCCCCCGGTTCGCACCTTTCTTCTTCAACGTCACCACTTCCTTCTGTTACAATCATTCCCTCTTCTCTCGTTCCCTCTTCTCTCATTCTTTGGGCCGCTCTTCACGCTACTCCCAAAAATAGGGTCTCACGCTCTTCACGCTGTCTCATTCTGTACTTCTGAGTTGTCAGCCACAGAGTACTGGCAAACGGGGCACCTCAAGAATGCTGCTGGTCGGGAAAAGGTAAGCACACCCTGAGCAGAGGATAAACTTTTGTCCGTCGCAATCTCAGGCCCACTCTCAAACGATCAAGTGTGCAATCAAAAAGGGATGCGAAGAACTAACCACAGTATTACCGTGGCAGGCTGGAAATCTCACCGTTGTTGGGAGGTCCTCTCGAGACACTTTTCTGAGCCTCTTGAAATTTTCCATCAGTCAGGTACTCGAGCCTGTATCACGAGACTCGTTCTCTCAGAAAGCGCATTAAAGGTTGTACAGCAAGGCCATTCTTCTGTTTCACTGGTAGTGCTTTCAAATTGAGATGTGTAGTTCCTTGTTTGACCCGCCATTACCGTTCGCTCACTCCCATATCCCAATAATTTGCTCTCTCTCTCTCTCTCTCTCTCTCTCTCTCTCTCTCTCTCTCTCTCTCTCGTCTTACACACACACAGATCATTTCAAGTTCAATGGATACGGCAATGGCGCACATGTCAGCCGGCCCCAGGAACGAGTGGCCCTCTACACAGGGGACGAGCACGCCCCATGACCCGGCCACCACACCCATTCCGTGTCTGCCGTCTTAAGAGACCTTTGCACTTGATCGTGATGCTGCCTCGGGATACCTATTCACTTCACGCTGATGACAAAGGCGACATAACCCATAATGAGATCAGATGCAGACGACAGGTACCACCAACCCTGGTCTATTCAATCTGTGGTGTCCCCCAGGACAGCATCACGAGAGACCCTGTTTTCTCTTTCTGCCGTTTATGTGAGATTTCAGAGAAGATCATGTGATAAAATAAGATGATGATGCATGAATGATGACAGTTTCGCTTGGGTGGAAGTCAGGACGTCCACCTAGCGCCTCGCAAGTCGCAGATATTTGAGTCCTTGGACTATTGACTCCATGGATAGCCCATGGGCGACAACAGCATGAATACCGTCCTGTTGTTTCTTCTTCCTCATTTGGACATTCAAATCTTTAATCCGCTATGGAGAGGCCAGTGCGATGAAAAGTCATACGCTACATTCGGGGGGAACTAATTGCCAATCTGCTAATTCCTAGGTTACATCGAAGAGAGGAATTACTGACGTAGTCGCTTTCCCCATGCGGATGTCAGTGGTTCAAGTCAATCCCCCTACCTCCATTGGGTACAAAACTCCAAAATCTCAAGATCGAGATAGGTTTCCCGGGGACATTGAACTCGTCCATGGACTGATCCTGCTTTCCTTCAGACGTCGGAGGCAGCCACAAATGACCCTCGCAGCAGAGATCTCTCGCACTAATTGTTTGTCTCCACGTTTTCGTTCATTCATCTCTACTACTGACATTTCAATGATCCGCTACTACTTCCAATCGCTCCACTACTCCCCAAAAGTGCAAAATGAGACTGAATCCTCCACTAGACATGGAAAGATATATTGCCAGTTTTCCTGTCTTTTGCGGACAGAGAGTAGTGCAGCAACGCCCATCGGTTTCTACCTTTTGCGGACGTGGACAGTAGTGCAGCGAGTTCACTACATGTTTCATCACAAGCCCAACTTGCCGTCTTGACCTCATTGCTTAGTAATGCACGCATATTTCGCATATCCGCTTTCCACCCACATACGTTCTAGTTTATCTACGGAAGCAGAAATTAAAGCTTTCGCTGGCCGAGTCCCCCATGGAGATGCCATCAACTCTGAATCATCAGCAACTTTGTTCAGTGGAATCAGGATTTCGCATACCAGTCCAGGCCCTCCCGTCCTACCACCACATTGTCATCAGCTCTAGAGGCCATCACAAGATTGGGGGGAAAGATGAGCAGAGGAGAATACGTTCGGCCATGTCTTTTGAAATATGGTCTCACACGCATGATTCCATCACAAGATGGGGGGGAAAGATCAGCAGAGGAGAATACGTTCGCTTTTAATCTGATGAAGACAAATCTTAGACAATCTATTACCAACCAGTGCGGTATGGATCGGTAAGTGCAAGAGTCCCAATATCCCTCTTTTTCTGCTTGAAACAGAACGCTAACATTCAGAAGGACGACTGCAACAAAGTCAACGGAACTACAATTCAGAAGGATGACTGATTACATATGACATCGCCCTAGCACGAAACTCCGTTCCAGCATCTCAAGTCAAATTCCGTGAACAGAAAGGCAGGAAGAAACGAGCATGTTTTCATCCGTCAAGCTCCGAACAGCTTTTAACTGTTTCGACTGTCTGAATGGACAGATTGCCAACGGACTGTATCATACGAGGCCAAGATCAGTGCCGCATCTGTCCCCACAACACCATCCAACACAAGGTCAGAGGGACACCAATGTTTATCGCATTTACTGTTGTGTAGCCGAGGAACACAGCAAAGGACATGATACGCACATTTCAATCACTGCTCATGTAACGTTGCATGTCGAATGTGCCGGAGGTCAACCAGCTTAAACCCGCAAATGCTTGTGTGCAGGGTACTCTCTCTCTCTCTCTCTCTCTCTCTCTCTCTCTCTCTCTCTCTCTCTCTCTCTCTCTCTCTCTCTNCTCTCTCTCTCTCTCTCTCTCTCTCTCTCTCTCTCTCTCTCTCTCTCTCTCTCTGTGTGTGTGTGTGTGTGTGTGTGTGTGTGTGTGTGCGTGTTTGTGTGTGCCTTGCGCGCCTGCGAGCGCCAAAAGATCCTCCTGAATGACAAGTCGTCAAGCTCATCACCTCTCTCTCTCTCTCTCTCTCGCACCAAAACACCTGAATGACGAGCCATCAGGCTCCTCACCTCTCTCTCGCGCGAACACGAGCACCAAGTTATCAAACTCCTCTCTCTCAGCCGCCCCCTCCCACTTAATACTTCGACGAGGTCCTCCGAGGGACACAGCAGCTGCTTATGGGAGAGCGTCTAAGTTCTGCGTTTGTACCATCTGCATTGGGATCAACATCAGTCATGTAACATATTTTATTTGGCCCAGCAATTCTTGTTCGTCCATCCAGTCCTCTTTGAGGTAAGAACTCGAGAGGAAGCGACGATCTACCCCAGCGCATGGCTGACCACAGAGTTCCCTGACCCCGTTGCTGAACCTAACAGTTCCAGCCGAAAAAGCCAAAACATGAAAGGCTATTTCAGATTTCATTCCCTCAACTTCAGAATGGACCGTTCCGAAGCAGTGGCGGGTCAGACGTTCAGGTTATAACCTCAACTGACAATACCGTGTCACCATTCAGCCGCGACGGCATTGTTGCTAACTTGCATTCTGATTGCTTCCATCAACCAATCAGACAACGAAGGACAGACTTGATACGTTTTCTCACATCGACCACCCCGTTACGACCCGTCCCGAAAAAGAATTGGTTACCGGCCCCAGAAGACAAACATATATGAGGGAAGGACATCAGTCCGTTTGTGTAACACCGCCCCCGGAGGACAAACATATAAACTATCAGGCGCAAATCAGTCCGTTTATGAAGGAACTTGATAGCCGCAGCCAAGGCTGTAGAATAAATTGAGCATATTTTTAAATTCGCCCCTCTCTTATTATTCGGCAGGATTTGCCATGTCTTGTTTGTCGCCCATGCATCCATCGTCGGACTCCTCACAGAGAGAAGGGGGGACTTTTCGCAAGTGCACAACTCATCCCACCGCCATGGCAGCTGAACGGCCGGCTTTTCAGCAGCACAGCTTACTCACCGGCAAAGAACGCCGCTGCCGATTCGCTGAGAGCTTGGCATCCACCACTGCTCTAGCAGCGTGCGTCATCGACGTCGGCGAAACATACACGTTGCAACCCATAATCCATTCCTTCCGGTCTCCGTTCTCCATCCACGTTTCAATTGTGCCCTTTCCGTTGATCAACTCTATTTCCGCATTCTCCCATTCCGCAGATTCAGGACCAATAGACCGCAGATCCGTGCCCACGAGCCGATCACACCACTCATTTCGAAAGAGAAAACCCAGTTCCTTGGTGAGTTTCAATCGTTAATCATTGCTCAATCTTCGCTAACCGCGCACCTCAGACATAGATCGCACAGTTGCTACGTTTTTTCATTCGTTATATTCATTTTCCACATCCTCCAGTCGATGTTGTCCCCACACACGCATTCATACAGTTGCTACGTTTTTTCATTCGTTATATTCATTTTCCATCTCTAATGCCATCCTCCAATCGATGTTGTCCCCACATACGCATTCACTGACTGAAATCGTTGCCCTATTGATTTCTCATGCTCCTTTCCAATTAATTGCCTTGCACGTTCCCTCGACCTCTCCAGCTGTCTGATTGCTTAAGACACTTCGAAATTGAAATTGACACCATCTCATTATTACGGTTCGTCCTCCTAAATGTTTCATAACGAAGTCCTTTGCGTGATTAACCGCCCAAGTCCCGAACTCAGCACCACACCGCAACAAGAGCATCGTGCTTCTCATACCGGTCCCGGCCTGAAATAGCAGATACGAGTGCTACGTCGACTGCGGTCGATAGCGGGGAGGAGAGTTGTAATTATCAAGGGGTGTAATTGCTACCGTCTTCCCCAGAACACAACGCACCCTCATTTTGGCTGTCTCTGGCCGGAAATATGACTCGTGTACATTCATTTCAAGGGTGCGTTACGTTCGGGGGAAGACGGTAGCCCGATTGGTTGTACTTATAAAAGGTCGTCAACTTACGCAATGGGCCGCCGGAACGCTGGAAATGTGAGAGTCGAGAAGAAGAAATAGTTCCAAAATACCAGAGTCACAGGAGCAGAACAAAATTAGGTATAGGGTTGGGAGGAGGGAAGGAAAGTTTCTGAACAGCGGGGAGACAGGTCCAAACTAGCCGAGAAGGAGCGTTCCAAGACCCACCGCCGCAAAGTCAGTGCGAAGAAAAGCTTGCAACCAACGTCCAATCTCAAACACGGCGATTTGTATATCCGAAGCCACAGAGTCGGACTGATGACATTCGAAACAAACTCGGAATTAAAAATACATAAAACTGAATGGCTCGAATGAACAGCGCGGCAGACGGGTAGCGAGGCATTTTGAGTTGGCTCGGGCAACCGGAGAAGCCGAGACATTGATCCGCAGGAGGGAAAGCGTACTCGGCCAGGGCGAATGGGGCGAATGAGGCGTAAGGAGAAGGGAGCATACCGTTAAATAAGAGAACCGCATCCGAGAGGGTAGCTCCATCTAAGAACGTGAAGAATGCCTTTTACTTGGACAGGGCGAATGGGGCGTAAGGAGGAGGAAACGTGTCTTGTGGATGAATAAATCAGAATCGAGTCCACGAGGGCGGATTCATCGAAGAACGTGAAGGACGTCTTACTAGGCCAGGGCGTATGGGGCACAAGGAATAGGGAACGTGCCGTTGAATAAGTGGAAAATTGCGTCCTAGAGGGTGGACTAGGCAAAATTTACGAAGATATCAGACATGCAGACAAAATTGAACGAGTGTGAAAGAATAGAGGGACAGGAAAACATACATCGGACGACGAGAGGCGATCGGTTAGGAGCATAGGGACGGGGAATAGGGGCAGAGACATCGGAGGAACCACAAGAGGCGTCGGACACGGCACAGACTCACCGGACTTATTGACAGACAACACAGACAAGGGAACAGCATACAGCGGCGGAGGGGACGTAGGCATCAGACAGGGAAATGGAGGCATCGAAGAGCTCAACAAAGTGGAGGCATCGAGTTCCAAGTTCTTTCAGACAAGGGGAGCAGTAGCCAATCGACAAAGTGGGCCCAAGTCATCGCCATAAGCAAAGATATCGGACAACGAGAAGAACGAAGTGGGCGAAGTCGTCACCATACGAGTACGGCCACACAGAAGACGAATACAGTAAACCGATAGGGAAGCATCGAGAGCGAGGGCTTCAACTCGCGGAGAGATCAAAGGAAAATACAACAAACGGACGGAACAGAGCATTTTGCGAGTGGAGGAAGCATCCACAAAAAAAGCAGCGAAATTGACAAATTGCCAACATGGGAACAGAACAGAAAAACTCGAAGGGACATATCACAAGCGCACGCAAGCATGCCCCAAGCGCAGGGGAAGAATAAAGCGCGAAGGCCGCATCGAACACGTTGACGACAGCATCATGGCATCACGGAAGAGTCGATCGACGAAACGAGGGGAATTGGAAAAGGAGAGGGGCATTGGGAGAAGAGAGAATTGGAAAAAGGAGAGAGCCATCGGGAAAGGAGAGAGCCATCGGGAAAGGAGAGAGCCATCGGGAAAGGAGAGAGCCATCAACGACAGGCAGAGAAAGATTTGCAGGCGTCGGATGACGGCAAGAGGTATCGAAAACGACAGACAAGAGAAGAATCAGGAGAGGTCGAGGGGGAAAGAACAAAATATGGGTACGAATCACGTTGGTGTAATCCGAGACACAGCAGACATCGGTACACGAACGGAGAATTCATGCCACGAAAAGACATTCAGCATGAGGGCAGTTGCAGAACAAACAAAGGATTCGAGGCAAATACAGGCCGGTTGTAATTATCACGGCTTCATGTCTGCATTTCAGAGTAAGATTTGGCAACAATCACAGTTCTTACATTACATTTCACATGAAGCCGTCGACATTTCCAGAGGTGGACAAACAGATACAGCGCTCCGAGCGAATGATAGGTGACAGAGCAAAATAGGAACAAAGAACACATCAAAATTGCAGTTAAACAGAAACACATGAAATCCTTCATCTTCACGTGAACATTGGATCTGCAGATCGACACTCGAACAACACCTCTGAAAGCCGATATGGTTGGAACCCTTATAACCAGAACAAACTCTCGCGCACAAAAGAGTAAATCCTCATTCTCAGTTTTCCGCTGTTTTCCAGGATGCCGAAACACAAAATGCCAGAAAAACGGCGCCCTAATCCCTCTTCACTGTCTGAAACAGCTCTACCAATACCATCCACCCGTCTCAACGTTCGAGTTCTCTATAATAACCCAATATCTCGTTCAGACCTCGGCCGGCCGTCGAAGACGGTACTACACATTCACAACACACGAAACAATCCCTTTCCACATACAGGACTCAGCCAGCTCTCCCCTGCCCGACTCTTGATACCGCCATTCCTTAACAGGTCTGCCTTTCACAATTCGCGGACAAGGCCCTGATGTCGAAAAATGTCTCAGTCATTCCCTAACCGGGCAAAACACAGCTACCACAAGCATGGCCTTCACCCATATCTACGCCGCCGTCCACGGCACCTCAACAACTATCTGAAGCATGGCCTTCCCCCATATCTCCACCTCAACAACTACCTGAAGCCTGGCCTTCCCCCATATCTCCGCCGCCGTACACGGCACCTCAGCAACTAAAAGCAAGAGATGTTGAAGACAAACTCGGACAATCAGTGACCTCATCTCTAGTACACCGGCGCCTTGTCCACCTCCTCGATGACGACGCTCTTGATGGGCTTTGCAAGGAAGTCCGTGAACTCCTGGAATGGCGAGCGAGTGAAACGGGTTTCCCTCCAGAGTTCCGGAGTCAAGAACCCGTACGTCTTCAACAGACATGCGAAGGTTGCCTGCAACATAAAAAGAGATAGTTAAGCAAAACGCGTCCGTCGATCCCCATCTTTCATTGCAGGACAATGGAAAGAAGGAATAAAACAATTGATTTTTGTCCAAACTAGAGATTTTGACCAGTGAATACCAAAGAATCGTGGTGGGTGGGAGGGGAAGAAGATGCGGATATTGTCCAACATACAGTCAACGATCGCAAGCTGACAAACCAATCATGAGAAAATCCCGAGAAAAGCACGCAGAGTCCTGATACGTCAATATCCACCATATTACCTGATACGGTCATCGGCAGAAGCACTGTCTACATTCATCATTACCTGATACGGTCATCGTCAGAAGCACTGTATACATTCATCAACGACGAGTGCTAGTGATGCGTACATTCATCAACGACGAGTGCTAGTGATGCGATTTGTACTCCCATTCCCCTTCGAATGTAAGTAAGGTACGTTAGGTGACCACCGAGATCCACCGCGCACAATTGGGTGATTGATTACGACCTTATCCATTCGGAGGGCAATTTTTCATCCTGCAACCTCGTTGCCCTACCTCGACGCAAACTTTACGCGGCAATCATCAACTGCACCACCAGAACAGTCCCCCCTCCATTTTCCACTTGACTCAAAACCTCCGACACCGTAATCATTTACACGGCAAACCATAAGAGCGCGGCATCGCCGGCAAGTAGGACAATCGAAGAATCTGATATAAGACCCGTTTGATGACCGAGTGCGGGTTCTCAAAGCAACAGGAGAGAGAATAACCGCGAAGCAGGGACCAAGGAAAGCTGCTAGCAAAAACAACACAGCTAAACGTCCCAAATTTCTCTTATCCCCGGCGGGTTTCGAAGGGCGTCTGAAAGGGGTTTTGGAACGAAGAAGAGTGAGAAACGGACTCTATAGCTTCAGCAACGCCCAGAAAAGTGCGCACAAGGGAATGAGCTCTTTTCAAGAAAGACGAAGTGGACGAGAGAGGACTCAGTACTGAATTGGGGAGAAGAGACATCGGAAGTGGGAGAAGAACGAATCGAGAAAGAAAGAGACAAGCCAGACACGAGGGGTATAAGAACATACACCAACCAAAGATCAGTACGAGATAGGAACAGGATGCACGTGCATCGCGAGACGCTGGGACCACTAAGACCAACCGCAGTAGAGAGAGGCTAAAGAAAGCATACGACATAAGTTAATGAAAAAATAGCGGAATAATGAGAAACACATTGGCAACTGAAGAGGAAGAACGCAAGCCGATGAAGGTATATAAGTAAATAAAAGAATAGCGGAATAATAAGAAACACATTGGCAACTGAAGAGGAAGAACGCAAGCGGATGAAGGTCAGAGCAGGCTGGCTGCGCACAGCGAGGCAGGCGCTCGGAGGCGAGCGGAAATAGGCCGGCGGAAGGCCGACGGATAAGATGAGGCAGTAGAAGACGTATGGGCGAGGGAAGAGAAAAAGAGCTACAGAATGGGAAAGGAGCTGGGGAAGAGATGAGAAAGGTAGACTGGAGAGGTACAAAGGGGAGGAGAGGGCAGCAAAAGGGTAATCAACATAGGGGAGGGAAAGGATTAAAAAAGCGGGGAAGGACACGGAGAAAAAGGGGAAGATATGAAAGGCCCACGACGACGGTGGAGGAGGAAGGATGGAAAAGATCAAAAGGGGATGTTAAAGGAGGAAGAACGAGCGACGCAAGGAGGGACAGCAGGAGAGGGAGGTGGGGTAGGGAAACGGGGACACAAACTCGGAAACTTCGATGTGGAGAGGGGCGCAGAGGTGGAGGGGGAAGGAAAGACGCCGTGTGGGAAAGAAGTCAAGGGGGAGGGATGGAGACGAGAGAGAATGGACAGGGATGAAGATCCCAAAATAAGAATGGGAGACGGGAACGAGAATAGGGAGAGAGACGAGGGGAGAAGGACGTGAAAGATGAGCGAGGACGCAAGTGAGAGTAGAAGTGGGAAAGGTGTGAGAACGGGAGGACAAACAAAGGGAGCGTAAGAGATGAGAGCGATAGAGTCGGTTGGGGGGGAAGGGAGCGGGTACAGGAGGGAGCGGGACAAAAGAGGTGAAAGAAGGAACAGGTGCAGGATGTCAACGAGGGGTGGGGGAGGAAGACGGGAGAGGAATAGGGTATGCAGACGCCAAATGGACATGCAGGTGGGAGAGCGGGAGAGGTGGATATGGGGAGGCGGAGAGTGGGAGAGGTCAAGGGCGGAAGAGCCGAAGAGGCACAGGTTGGGAGAGGTGGATGGAGGGCGGGGAAGGGCGAGAGGGAGATATGAAGAGTGATAGACATCAAGGGTGGCAAACGTGGAGCCTGGGGCTCCAGTGGCAGACGTGGAGGGCGGAGGAGGCGGAGGTGGGAGAGGGAGAAGGATACACACAGGGGACTGATGAGACAAGGGGACGATGAGACGGGAAATGGGGAGTCCAAGATAGGGCGAGGAAGAGTGGCGAAGACAGGGAACAGATTATGTGCGAGATTGCGTTCGCATGACTTTCGGCACAAGTACCTTAACGAAGTTTCCGAGGGTCTTCGTGCAGCCAGTGGACGACGTAAACACATCCTCAATACCGGCGAACTGGAGCACCTTCTTGGGCACTCGCGCCGCCACAATTCCGGCACCTCGTGGAGCGGGCACCAGCCGGACGCTGACAGAGCCGCACTTCCCTGTGACCTTTGCTGGAACAGTGTGAGGCTTGCCAATCTTGTTACCCCAGTATCCACGCCGCACGGGGATGACAGAGAGCTTTGCCAAGATGATGGCACCACGGATGGCCGTGGCCACTTCCTTAGAGCACTTGACACCCAGGCCGACGTGCCCGTTGCTATCGCCGACAACGACGAAGGCCTTAAACCTTGTCCTCTGCCCAGCGCGAGTCTGCTTTTGCACGGGCATGATCTTCATTACTTCATCCTTCAGCGCTGCACCCAGAAAGTATTCCACAATCTGATGCTCCTTGATTGGAAGGGAGAAGAGATAAATCTGTTCCAGCGACTTGATTTTCCCATCCTTTACGAGCCTCCCCAGCTTCGTGACAGGAACCCACGCCTCTGCCTCCTCCCTCCTCGGACCTCTCCTTCCACGACCACGATCGCCTCGCCCACGCCCGCGGTCTCCACGATCTCCGCGGCCGAAGCCCCTACCGAACCCACCCCGCCCACCACGCTCCTGATCCGCCATAGCTCAAGGTCGACGTGCAAAGCTGAAGGGACACGACGCCCGCCTGCCTTCGTGCCTAAGACTGACTATGGCGGCTGAGCACTGACCACGAGATCCCCTCGAAAAAGGACCACAGGTGACACCACCTGCCGCTATGTAGACAAGGTGACTTTCGGCAAACCCTTTCACGCAGCTCCGGAAGTACGATCCTGCACTCTCTCTCTGCTCCCGTACGAGGACCCAAAGGTGCCCCTCATGAGGACTCAAGGGTGAAAAATAAAATCTTCACGAACTCTCCAGTGCTGAGGCGCAGACAGGTCTGCATAAAACCCTAACATCGACGGCTCAGAATTAACGCCGGCGTACTACGGTACTGCCGGACATCGAGCGGACGCGATTTCCACAGAGACGACGAACGATTCGTGAATCGACCCCATTCTGCCCTTCCATCTTGTCTTGGTCCAGTTATCAGGGTCAGTCACAAGGCTCACGTCTGGGGACAATTCTTCCGGCATACGGTCCAGGACTACTACCCTCCTATCACGTTGGTGAGAGCTGCGGTATGACGAAGGGAACCCGTGGATGGCTTAGAGATTACTACCGGTTGTACTTTTCAGACAGAATCTGGGAGTGTTTTCGGTCATATACATCCATGGAGTATAGCCTTACCCTATGGATTGGCTTAGGAGTCTTCTGTGGGAACATAGTTGCCTTACCGTGAGGGTGCTGGAACACAGGCCGTAAGTGTGTTGACTGCGAGGGCAGGGGTCGGAAGGGAGTGTATGAGGCCGGGGGCCAAGTGGAAGCCCGCGGTGAGGGCCAGTAGGAACCCACCTTCTTCCCCCGAACATAATGCATATGCCTTGTAAAGGAATACAACGTACACATTGCGTTTTCTTCGTTTAATCCGCATATGCGTTGCATTCGAGGGCAGTGCAGCAACTTCTTGGGCGGCAGGGGGCCTGGTCCAGGCTGAGTGTGCTCAGTCCGGGCTGAGTATGCTCAGTTCTGGTCCATGGCCTAGGGCATTACACACAGAAAGCATGGTGTCGTATCTTTCCATGTTCTGGCCGAAGATTCATCCCCTTTTCGCCATTTAAGACCTCCCTCCACTCCTCACCAAATGTGCAAAATGAGAACGAATCTTCCATTAGCACATGGAAAAATACAACGCCCTAGCATAGTCAAGTGCGTCCCTCATGGCTTCAAGCTGCCCCTGCTGCCACTTTCTTGGCCGCCTTTTGTCAGACAGTAGGAGACAAGCAAGAAGAGCGCAGGATCCTCGATCCACTACTCTCGATATGCATAAAAGATGAAAATAATGGCGGTGTATCTTTTCATGTTATAGAGAAAAGATTCACTCTCATTTTGCTCATGTCTAGAGTAGTGGGGCAAGGTCCTAGGTCATGCACAGACAAAACCTATAATAATAATAAAAATACATATGCGTTCACCTCAAAAAGAAAGGGGGGAAGAAAAGAAAAAAAAGGATTTTATTTGAATATTTTTGAATATGTTATTCGAATACAAAGCATATGCGTCGTATTCAAAGTGCCCTTCTATTTGAAAAAAAAATACCAACTGTCGAAAAAAAAACAAATCCAAAAACTCGAATATAACGCAAATGCATTGTGTTCGAGGGGAAAAGGTAGTGAAAGACAATCGTAAGGCCCAATAAGGGTCTCGTTCTACTATCCTAAAAAACGCTCATTTCGTATGAATGTTTTTCTTCCAAGGTTCCATAATCTAAAACTCTAAAACAAAATAGAGGACCCATGCAAAAATATTTGTAGGACTCATCCTGCAGTTTTGAGGAATCCCCAGTCATTCTCGAACATTTTGTAGGATGCTCATGAGAATCTTAGATGGTTGGGTGCCCTCTCCGTTTTCATGTAACCCTTGCTCCATTAGCACAAGCAGGTGCGAAAGGCAGGGCAAGGCAAAGGCGACCATTACCACCGGGTGGGCGATATAGCTGTCGGAGAAGGCGGATGAGTGGTTTGTTCACAACCCATTCAAAGCAGGGTCTGTGGCGCTGACTGTGGATGTACAAAGTACGGATATGCATTGCATTTTAATTGTTGAAAATATGTGATGTAAACTAGAAAAGGTGACAAAAAATAAAGTCCCCAATACCCACTTGTACATTATTACAAGGCAAACATGACCATTGCATAACCACCTAGCACCACTTGTGCAACATTTTTGCAACTTTCGATGACCAGTATGACCTTTTCATACTATTGTTACCACCGTCATTCAATTAGGCTTCGTGCAACTCCCCAATGTGACATTGTAGGTTAAGGACGTCTCAGGTGATATGTTTTTGTCGCCTTGTTCCCTATTCGAAGTATATACGCGATGATTGTTATCGAACAAGTAAGTTTCTTTACTAGCCCGAAAGTGAAAAAGGAGTTCACGAGCGAACTTTGTCATTGAGGCTATTTGACTCTGATTCCAAATTTCGCAATACATATTCATAACCAGCCTTCGTCACCTTTCGTGTACCCCCTCTACATTTTTCCAGAATAAATGACAAAGAAAAAATACAACCAACCATTGAAAATTTGGAATTAATAACTATATTTTTCTTGCTTCACATTTGTCCCGTAAACACGATTTGATTGATTGTTGAAAATCATCTCTCCCAAACGTAAGCAGTCTAGCCTCACAACTTATACAAGGAGATTTTATTTCTCACTTGGAACTTCAATCCTCCTTTCCTAAAATCTTAGACACATCCCTTTTTTTTGCACTTTTGTAAAGAAAGGTGCAATGAGTGTCCTTCATTTCAAAATATTTGTGGGACACATGACAATTAAATTTGTATGTGATAAGTCAAGTTCCGCACTTTGTGGTTTCGCGTATCCTTCATATGGAACCCCAAAGTCAACTGTGAGTACGGACCTTCATGGGTAAAAGGATGAAAGGGGGTCGAGTTCAAAATTTTTGAATATAATCGCACGCATTTTCGCGAATGCCCTTGTCCTTTTGCAATTTAGTTTCACACGGCTAATTAGCGACTGCGAGAGAACTTTCAAAAAAACGGTTATCATTTTATTGGTCGTTGCACTTTAATTTTATTTTTGGCATATGCATTTTGCCAAACCATTGTAAATCTTTGCAAGATTCCACAAGCTAGCTTCCCGCTTTTGCACGTGCGCCAATTTTTCTTATTGCTTGTTACTTCATCTATGTATATTTATTTGTCTTCCTCCCTTCCCTTTCAGCTAGGATGATTGGTTACCACTCGACCTGGTCGGGTCAAGTTGTAAGAACGGGCGCAACTTGAACGACCACCTTGGTTGTGCGAATTTTTTTATCATTTCACCTCCTTTATTCTCATTGTTATTCGACGACTTTCCTTTCCTCCATCGACCGATTTCTCCTCCCCTCCCATGTATCTCTCTTTCCTCCCCCGTTGTCCACACAAGTACCCTTGCAAGGGTATTTTTTCTTGTTTTTTGTAGGCCGCATAGGCTTTGTCTGTAGCGAAAAGTGAGACATGGTGCGCCCATTTTTGGTACAGTCGCACCCGATTTTTAGTGTCAGAATGCTAAAGGCATGTTGGGTTGGGTTGGAGAGTGTCTGGGCGTCACTTTGAGGCCCGTGCTGTTTATTCGGGTGTTTGGTAGTTCCACAATTTGGCGTGTGATCAGTGATCTCGCACAACAGTGTGAGCCAGAGAGGGAGATTAATTTTTTTTATTACTATAGTCGCGCGTATTTTATGTGTGTGTGCAAAAACCGGTATTGTTGTAGCCAACGTCAAGGTTGTCGTTTGGTGTTGCGGTTCTAGATGATCGTTGTTGGCTTGCTTGAGGTGGCGCTCGAATCCGTGTAGGGCAAAATGCATGAAGCACCTTAGTTGTTGTGCTTTATATGTCAGTAGGGGCCGTATATGACATCGGAAGCGCGTGCGTAGATGGGGTTTGATACAACAAAGGACGAAGTTTTTGTCTGGCGGAGTAGTAGAGGGGTGATTTTGGAAGAGTGGTCAATTCGCAGAGGCCAGAATGAGCAGAGATGTGGCTCAGGCGTGGTAGGTGGGGTGTGTGGCAACTAAAATTGGAACCAAGCAATCTATGTGATGAGTGCAAGAAATTAGCGGCCATGGGAACAACCGGTAGGTTGAGGTATGACTTCGGTGAGATTTGGGAGGCCTAGGCACGGGGGAGATACTACGCGACTAATCACTGTAAGAAGGCAAGGTCATGCAAACGGAGCAAACCTCCGACCCAGTGCCATTCAGTGGGTGGCTAATCTTCGCCGGGTGTTTTCAGTACTGATAATTGTAGATAGTAATTAACATGTGACTCAGGGTTGTCTGGTCAGTTCGGTAGCATGACCTGACGGATTTCCCACTACCTGAGGGTGTAACTTCTAGGTGTGGGAGGATCATATCTTATGAAAATATTACATTTACGTCGGGTGCATGTAAGTCAGCCAGTGTCAGCAACTAGGGGCCTCCAGCAAACTGTGACGTTTTGAATCAACCCCATCAACGTGTTCAAACTTTAGAGGGGGATTTTTCATTCGTCGACGTAAACCGTCTGAAAGAGACCCTTTCTATGTAAAGTTTTCAGTGATCGGGCCGAGCAGGACGACTTCCCTCATATATAACTAAGTGCTTCTAATCCGTATCAAGTATATAAGGCTCTGTTATCATGGATAAGCATAGGGTCCAGGAAAACACGAATTGATCGGGGACTATAAAGCTCACGACTACTAAATCCAGCTCGACTTACAGGACTAGAGCCCTCCTGCTAAAAGAGGTTGAGTACTGGGACAGAGTAACTGGCCACTCGCTAGGTGTGCTTGGGGCCAAGAGCCTCAGCCTGGCACGAGTAAGGCATAACCAAATCAGTCATCTGGCGTATTGAGATCAACTCAGGCAGAGGGTTGGTGCYGYTGTGGACARATTTGTCAGACTTTGCCTTGGGTAGACATAGCGAGCTCTTGGAGCAAACAATCACCAAGGAAATTGAGGAAACTAAAGGARCTGTCATTTGAACTCGACCTCATTCTAGCAATMRCGACCTCTGGAGTTCTATTTGACGGTACAAGTCAAGTAGTCACGATCTCAGGCTCCGATTCTTTTGTCAGCCGAGTACGTCCCAGTCGGACCGTGTTCCATTATCTCTTGGCATTCAGAGTCCTTCCRGTATYTGCARCTGGTTTCCAAGCTTAAGCTCGAACATACCAGACACCGTCAAACACAGTRAACGAAGGAGTYAATCATCTAAAGAACGRCTTACTCCTYCTTTGGGATCAGGGGCAAARGTCATCATGAGGGACAGTCATCTAGATGTGTATAAGAACCAGGTCAAACACAGTGAACGAAGG